GTGATGGAACCAGAGGCCATGATCTTAGTTTTCTAATGCTGCGTTTTAAGCCAACTTTTTCCACTCTCCTCTTTCATTTTCATCAAGAGGCTCTTTAGTTCTTCTTCACTTTCTGCCATAAGGGTGGTATCATCTGTTGATATCATCTATTGATATTTCTCCCATCAATCTTGATTCCAGCTTGTGCTTCATCCAGTCCAGGGTTTCTCATGGTGTACTCTGCATATAAGTTAAATAAGCAGGGTGACAATATACAGCCTTGACGTACTCCTTTCCCAATTTGGAACCAGTCAGTTGTTCCATGTCCAGTTCTAACTGTTGCTTCTTGACCTGCAGACAGATTTCTCAGGAGACAGGTAAGGTGGTCTGGTATTCCCATCTCTTGAAGAATTCTCCACAGTTTATTGTGATCCACACAGTCAAAGACTTTGGCATAGTCAGTAAAGCAGAACTAGATGTTTTTCTGGAACTCTCTCGCTTTTTCGATGTTGGCAATTTGATCTCTGGTTCCTCTGCCTCTTCTAAATTTATCTAGAATTTCATGGTTCAGGTACTGTTTAAGCCTGGCTTGGAGAATTTTGAGCATTACTTTGCTAGTGTGTGAAATGAGTGCAATTGTGTGGTAGTCTGAGCATTCTTTGGCATTGCCTTTCTTTGGAATTGGAATGAAAACTGACCTTTTCAAGTCCTTTGGCTGCTGCTGCATTTTCCAAATTTGCTGGCATATTGAGTGCAGCACTTTCACAGCATCAGCTTTAGAAGCCACCTAGTACTTGATAGATACTAGGTTTTGCATGAAGTGCTTTACATTAATGTTGTGGGATAGATAATAAAATGATTCCCATTTTACAGAGAGGGAAATTCAGAGATACTGGGTAAGTAGCTTAGGTAAGTAGCTTACCAAAGCCCCACAGCTAATAAGTGGCAGAGTTGGCCATACGCTGACCCCAGAGTCCGGACTCTTCAGAATTACTTTCCATGACCTGTGCTGTTGTCAACAGAATCCGAAATAGATAACCAAAAACAATTAAAACCCTACTGCTTGGATGAGTCAAACCATTGTTCATGTTACGTTTTTAGCCACAGTAAGTCCCTCAGGGAAGGGTTGTTCTTTTCTCTCTGGCTGTAACTCCCGCAGTCTTTGGCGCTGACCTCTCCCCCAGTGGGCACCCGGGAAGTTCAGCTGGCCAACTGCCCCTTCCCCTCCCCCTTATGATGCTGACGTGCCCCGTGACAAGAGGTGTCAACACCTTGACAGGGGACTGCTACTGGGAAACATACTGTTTGCAACCTCTTATTTTACACGGAAGCACAGCCGATTAGCAGTGCTGTGATAGTTCCAGGTGGACAGCAAAGGGACTCAGTCATGTGTATACACACGTGTTCATAGTTAGGGAGTTTGGGATCGACAGGCACACACTGCTACATTTAAAATGCATAACCAACAAGGACATACTGTATAGTGTGAACAGCAAAGGGACTCTGTCATATGTGTATACACGTATTCATAGTTAGGGAGTTTGGGATCGACAGGCACACACTGCTACATTTAAAATGCATAACCAACAAGGACATACTGTATAGTACAGGGAACTCTGCTCGACGGTATATATAGCAACCTGGATGGGAGGGGAGACTGGGGGAGAATGGATCCATGTATGTGTGTGCCTGAGTCCTTTTGCTATTTGCCTGAAAGTATCGCCACATTGTTAATTGGCTATGTTCCAATATAAAATAAAAGTAAAAAAAATATAGCTATGTTCCCCTGTTACCAAAGGGTCCAGAGCTCAATCTATAGTTTGTTAAACATGGAATTTGTGGTCATTTTTCATGAAGAATTGTCCCCTAGGCTCTGAATCTGAATTGCATCCTTTCAACTGACTGGCTGTGAGAGAAGTCAGCATTCATCATTTCAACCAAATGACTTCATTTCTAGAAATCAATCTGTCATGAGTGCAAAGATTACTCTTAAATTATTTGCAATCACTTAAAATCTTGGGATTGACTAGAAGTAAAACAAAAGTAAATAGGATCGTTTTATGATACTATGCCAGTAGCAAAGACTCTACACCTAAGGTGGCAATTGTGCATATGGTTTCTCATTATATTTTAAAATATGATTTTCACAAAAATAATTTAATATAAAATTTTGGCCAGATTAATGATGCATGAGGAAAGTTCTATCCAGAGATAGGGTGCAGGTTAAACCAACTAGTAGGACAGTAGACAATCAAACTTCACCACATTATTTGGGTTTATGTCCCAGGTGGCTTAGTGGGAAAGAACCTGCCTGCTAATTCAGGAGACCTGGGTTTGATCCATGGGTTGGGAAGATCCCTTGGAGAAGGAAATGGTAACCCACTCCAGTATTCTTGCCTAGAGAATCCCATGGACAGAGGTGCCTGCCAGGCTACAGTCCATGGGGTCGCAAAGAGTTGGACATGACTTAGTGACTAAACAGTGTGCTAAACAATAATGACAATAAATATCATTATGACAATAAATAGTCATTACTATTATCAAGGGTCATTATGCATTTAAATGGATGATTGGTACCCTAGAAACTATTTTCCTACTGAAACTAACCAGGAGTCAGAGAAGCGATGTTACCATTATCTGTTATCATTATTGTCATAGCTTCCATTTAGTAAATAAACCCTTTACTATCTGCTAGGCGTTACATTAAGCATGTGTTACACATTTTCCAAATGTACTCCTGTGAAAAAGAGAATGTCATCTCTTCTTACAGATGAGGATAGGCACCAAGAGGTTAAGTGATTTGCCCAAGGTGGCAGGGTTGGGAAATGTCCATCTGAAGTGACTTCAACCCTCCTCCCTTTATCCCCAGACATGGTGTTTCATCAATGGGCTATGTGCGCCATCCCCTAGGTAAGTCTGCCTGCAAAATGATTTAATGCTGCTTCGAATTTGGAAAAATTTAGAGATCTTATCTTGTGAGCCATTTCATGTACAAAAGTTTCATGCCCAGAAATAGATCAGAGTTTCTTTCTTGAAAAAAAAAAAAAAAAAAGCCAAACCAAACCAGCAGGGGTTGGAACAGGTGGAATGCTTAAGCCAGGCCAGCTTTTGGTCTGTTTTTCATCATGTCTCTATTTCTGTCGTGAACCTTTCCCACCCAGAGGCGACGCAAATGTCTTGGTTGTGGAGAGTGAATTGGGTCTTTTCCGGAGAGTGACACTTCTTCCATTGACATGGCCCCTTTCTTGTATGGGGTGATGGGGGAATGAGTGTGTGTGTGTGTGTGTGCGCACGCGCTTGTTTGCCCAGTGAAGCGGGCATTCAGGTGGCGCAATGCTGCGAGTGACTTGTTCGGCTATTTGTGAAGAAGCTGGCAAACTTGGACCTCCTCTCTGGCAGGGAGGAAAAAGGACTGCTTGTTTCCGAAATATCAGAGAAAAGCCTGGTGCAGGTGGGGACTCCATCAGTGAAATGTTGTTGGAAGCCGCAGCTGCAGGTGCTGCCCCTGGCCACGAACGTGTACTTCCTGGGTCGGGCGCTGGAGAAAGAGGGCTGCCAATCCCCACATAGAACAGCACTGTTGTCCCAGGGGTGAATGAAAAAGATGTTTCAGTGCTGTGGATGGATCTGGGTGGTTTGCCACGGAGGACAAAAAGTCTCCTATAAAATTCCATTTACATAGTCCTATCTCACTTGGGCTTTTGGTGACCAGATTCAATTGTGCTGGTGCTCCCTGGGCTGTGTGATATCATAGCTTCAGAGGAAGGCTTTATTTAGAGGTCACACTAGTTTGTCCTGGGGATGTAGTCATTTTTTGTGTCGCAGACAATGTTTTACTGTGGAGATATGAGCCAGATGGCTCAGCCACTTGCAGTCCAGAGCTAAACAGTGTCTGTATTGTTGGTGAATAAACAGAATCTATTGTCTCCGGCTCATGAAACTCTAGTGCCCACCACTGTTGAGAGATGAAGTATTTAATAAATTGTTAGGTCTCGCTTAAAGAATCTGTGAAACAACATCTCAGAAGGATGCAGGCCTCCCCAAATATAAATCCCATGAGTTCTTAAAAACCACCAGAGCGCCACCACCGCCTTTCCGAGGGCTTTCTTCCTGCCCTGCCCCCGCAGCTATTCCTCTAGAGTCATCAAGGCCCAGTGTTATTTCGTTCCCACCGCAGTCCGTATGCTAATATGAGCTGTAATCCTCGGCAGCAGCGAGGTGGGGAAACAACACGAGGCTTGTGTCTGTGCTGGGGCTCAAACTTTCTCACCCTCTCCCAAGCCCGGCCACCTATCTGTCAGCCTCCGACAGCACAGCGGAGCCTGACTGGTGGGGAGAGAGCTCGCCGCGGAAATGCAGTTTCGGGATCTAGCTCCTCCGTGTCTGGGAAGAGCCTTTCACACGTGGACTTGACCTCACACCTCAGCGGGAAATCGGCTCACTCGCTCCAAACAACAAACAGCCCAGCCCAGCAACACCGGACGGTCGCAGCCTCTTTCTGTCCTTGTGAAGACGGCATTGAGAGCATGGCTTTCTGAGCATGGTCCAGTACCTCCCACCTACACCACACAACCCCCTGCCCCCACGGTCTCCTCTCTTCTTTCCAGCCTGCATCTTGTCCATCTAAATGAAGCACACTCTTGGGCTGAACTTCGCCCAGCTGTGGCTGGATAGATTGCAGTGTCAGAAGTATTCGTTTCCTGCTCTAATTGCAGCCCAAGCCAACCTTGACTGGCAAAGGAGAAAGCCCCTGACAGGTTTGGGCTGTGTCCAGACCTCCTCAGACTTTCTGTCAGCCAACTGTTTGACAGTCAATGCAAATGCATGCAAATGAGGGGACACTGGCCGAACACCTGCAGAAAGTGACCATCCGCGCCGGCCCGGGCCTCCCCGTAACTGGGGGGGTTGGAAACGCCGCCGCTCCGTCGCTTTCTGTCAGTTGATTATGCGGTTTGTCAGCAGAACGCCGGGCGGGATAAGAAAACGGTTCCTCTTTGTCCTGAAGAGGCGCAGAGCGCTCCATGTGGAACTGTGAGTGCCAGGAATCTGGGGATGGCTCCCGGCCAGCCCGTGCGAGGCCTCCCCTCCGTCTCCCGCACGCTTGTGGGCTCGCCCGCCGGGAGGAAGGCCTTCTGTGTCCCCGGGTGTGGAAGGACATGGTGTTGGTGGCCCGGCAGCAGCGCGAAAGGCCGGCTGTCTTTAAGCAGCTGGAACTTGGCGGCTCGGCGCGGGTAGTGTGTCCTGGATTTTCAAAAGCTGGAGGAAAGGAAAAAAAAAAAAATCTGCCCAGCCTGTCAGGGCATTGGAAAGGGGGAGAGGGCCCGCCACCTCAAGTGGGAACCAAACTGCCAGCCGCACAAACCACCTCCAGACTGCGGGATGGCTGCCAGCCGGGCCGGCTCCCACGTCCACTGGCTGCCCGGCCGGCTCAGCCCCATCTGCCCGGGCCTCCGCTGGCTCTGACAGCCCCTCTCTGGAAGGGCTGCTGGGACCAGCCCGTCAGCTGTTAATGAAAAAGGTGTGTGTGTGTGTGTGTGTGTGTGTGTGTGTAGGGGGATGGGCTATGGAGATTTTCAATTTGGCCTTTTTTGAAGGTAAAGAAAGTGACCCACCCAGCAGGGCCCTTGCGACTGAGGACTGGGGGACAAACCCTGTGTAGGGGGATGGGCTATGGAGATTTTCAATTTGCCCTTTTTTGAAGGTAAAGAAAGTGACCCACCCAGCAGGGCCCTTGCAACTGAGGACTGGGGGACAAACCCTGGGTCCCAGGACCGAGGGGTCAGGCAGGGACACTGCACACCAGTACTCGATGTGATCTTTAAGCATTCCCTGCCAGAACAGGGGAGAACATTTTTCATTGTGTGTGTGTGTGTGTGTGTGTGTGCACGCGCGCGCACATGCAATTGGGCTTTGTCCTCGAAAGAACAGGTCATCTGGGGAGTGGCTGCACAAACTAGGACTTGTAAAGCCCCTTACCCTCTCTACTTGCAGGTTAGAAGGACCAGACCTTGACATATATCAAGAGCACCTGAACATACACGACCTAAATATAGGACCCACGATGTCCTGTATGTAGGTTCATAACCAACTCAGGCAGGGTCTGGGGAGTAAGCGGGCAGTGCTCATAATGAACAAATGACTGATGTCAGTGTAGATTGCTGATCCAAGTAATTTAAGAGTCCAAAGTGGATTTGTTTTCCCCCCAAAGAATCATTTTGACATTCTCACTACTTCAATCAAATCTTTGCCCACTCTTTCCCATACAAAGAGAAGTAAAAAATCAAAGTGAGGACTGTTAAGGTTTTGCCCATCCAGGCTTTTCCCTCTCTGGATGGAAGAAGCACTTAACTGGGCTCCCCAAAACCTGCTGTTTGGGGACCTGGTAGAAAACTGGAGTGCATGGCTTTTAAAGCAGACATGAGTTCCCTGCCCTGAGACCAGTGTGGGCCAACATCTGTTGAGCACCCCAGTCAGAACCCTGATGTATAACCAAGGGGCTGCCAGGCTGTCTAGAGCCAGGGCTGCATACCTGGGAAACATCCTGGTATTGATAACAGCACGATGGTGCCAAGGGCTTGTGGGAACCGTGGTTTTTCAGATGTTGACTTATTGCAGAGGGAGAGAGGGCAAGCTAGCTCAGAAAGGTATATTAGGTGCCTGCGAAGTACGTAGCCTTGGATATTTGCTGCTGTGGACAAACTGAGGCACAAAAGTATCTATGAGAATTCGGTCAGGGTCAAACCATCATTAATGATAGGACCCGGAAGCCCAGTTCAAGTTCCCTCCACATCTCCTTTTAATTATGGGCTTCCCAAGTGGCACTAGCGGTAAAGAATCCACCTGCCAATGCAAGAGACTAAGAGATGTGGGTTCAATCCCTGGATCTGGAGGCCGGGATCCCCTGGAGGATGGCAAGGCAACCCACTCCAGTGTTCTTGCTTGGAGTATTGGAATACACAGACAAAGGAGCCTGGCTGGTTACAGGACATAGGGTCACAAAGAGTCGGACACGACTGAAGTGACTTAGCACACACACTCCTTTCAATTCTATCACACAGTATGTACAATAAGGAAAACTCCTTTGGGGATGGGATAGTATAATCTTAATTTAATTTTACTTATTTCTGGTCACACTGCATAGCACATGGGATCTTAGTTCTCTGACCAGGGAATCAAACCCAAGCCCCCTGCAATGGAATCACAGAATCTTAAGCACTGGAGCACGAGGGAAGCCCAATCAGGAAAACTCTTGGTGGAACCAAATAATATTCATAGAGTCCAGAGGCATGTGCATATGAAGGTGGTTTAAACTGGAAAGATAGGAAGCTTCAAGAAGGGACGGAGACGTGATGGGGAGGCCTCCCCTCAAGTGTGCTTCCCAGGAGGCTCATGGTAAAGAACCCACCTGCCAGTGAAGGAGATGCAGGAGACGCAGGTTTCATCCCTGGGTGAGGAAGATCCCCTGGAGTAGGGCATGGCAACCCACTCCAGTATTCTTGCCTGGAGAATCCCATTGACAGAGGAGCCTGGTGGGCTACAGTCTATGATGTCACAAAGAGTCGGACCCGACTAAGCACGCACACACTTGACCCATGAAGTTTTCAGCTGCTTTGAGTACCTGTGAAACTGATTTTTTTTTTTTTTGCGGTTGTCATAACATCATCATGGAAGGAAAGCCGTAATGTCACGGGCTGGGAGGCTGTGGATGGATTTTCTCAGCCCCAGTGCCTGGTGGAGAGGTGACGGGATCCTACTCCTTAGTGCCAAGGCAAGTTCCCTGGGTACCAGTATTGTTTTACCAAGTGGAAAGAGAGTTTCATCACACCAGCTGTAACTCATAATGTACAGGCATCTCTTATTTAAATGAACCTGCTGTTTGCAACTCCTCTGCCCTGGCTTTTTTTTTTTTTTCAAAGGCCAGAAAGAAATAAAATGCCACCTAAATGAGACCATTTCGTTTCTCCCTTGCTCTCTCCTTCTTTTAAAGATAAACTTTAGAACCCAAGGTAGTTGTATTGAACCAGCTTTAATGTCTTTTCAGGACTGTGTGCAAGGCTGTGGTCAGTCAGGCAGCAGTAACTTTGAAAAAATGACCCGTCTACACCCAAACAATAACAGAATCCCCCTTTTCATGTTGGAGACGCCCACAGCTTTCTGTGTATCTTCGGACTCCCCACGTAGACGCAACTGTTTGACCAGCCTTCTACTGAACAACTTAATTAAGCAAAAGAAAACGTGTCAGTTTCTGCCAACCTCACAAAAACAGAGCTGTGGGGGTAAAAAGGGTCGGCCGAATTAACCCACATTCCTGAACCGGTTCACTAAAGCGAAGCTGGTTTTGCAACCATGCCAAGGGGAACCGTGCACTGGATGGCCATTCAGATTGATCAAGACATATTGTCCGGCAGATCATACTGAACACAATTAAAGCTGTAATACCTCGGGGCGGCTACAGCTCGGGTGTGAGTTTAGATTAATTTAAAAAAAAAGAAAAAATCTTGTCACGACACAGTGCCCACCGCTGACATTCTGCATAGTTGAGGAGACAAAACAGTTTCGCCCACCATATGAAAACAGCAAGTTGTTTTTAGTTTTTGCCCCCTCGTCAATATCCTGCCCTCCTTCCCTCCCCCTTCTCCCTCTCCCTGAAAGCACATGCAATATGCAAAGTAACTGTATGCCCTGCATGCAATTTGTACGTCCAGACCAAACCCGAATTTAATCCTTTTTATTTTATCCTGAGGGCGGGGAAGTGCCCCTGCCTAAATCCTTCTCTGGAAGCCGAGAAAGCAGAGGCCCCAGGAATCCTGTTTCCTGGCCAATTAAATTTAGGATTTTTTTTTTCTCTCCAGGCTTGGGTTTTGATTTTGCTTCCTTTATGTGCAGCCAGGATGAAGCTTAAGGCGCAGCACTTCTCCCCACCCCCAGCCCTCTCCCCACCCCATCGGAGCCTCCTGCAGTCACGGAAAGGCAGAGGGCTTTCTGGGCAGCCAGAGTGAATTCAGAAGCATCGCCATTCATTTGGGGAGAAACTGGACCGGTACCAGTTTAGTGTTGGGGCCATGAGATGGTGGCATTTTTATACCCAATTATTCATTCTTCCCTTCCCTCTCTTTCTGTGTGTTTAGCAAGTACAGCGTCGTATAGTATAGCATGATTCCATGCAGAACACATCCCTCATTAGAATTACATTATCTCACATTCTAGGACGGGAATCAAGGCACAGGCCAACTTCTAGTTCCCAATTTTGCAGGGAAGCTGAGACAGGACTGTTTAAAGGGTAGAGGCCTCAGCGTCTAACATCAGAGACAAATGGGCCCTTCCAGATGAGCAGACTCCCCAGTGCTTTTCTGTGGGGACAACTGGTGGTCCTAACTTTCTGTGCCTCCTGTGTGATACAAGGAACTGTTTGACTAAGAGGCATTTATGGGACTTCCCTGGCATCCCAGTGGTTAAGATTCTGCCCTTCCCAATGCAGGGGGCATAGGTTCAATCCCTGGTTGGGGAAACTAGGATCCCACATGCCACAGTGTGGTGCAGTCAGAAAAAAAGGAAAAGAGAGAGAGACATTTATGATTGATATCTACTGCAAGTGTTCTTTTGGTGTGGAGATGTTTCCAGTTAAAGATTCAAATGGGGCTGAATTATCAGAAGGCCATAGAGGCAGCTTTTGTTTGCTCTCCCACTTGGAAGAAATCCACACAACTTTTGCAAGATAAGCAGGACAGAACCTTGCCAGTACCTTACTGAAAGATTGGGCAGACAGAAGACAGAGGAACGGGCAGAAGTTTGGTGTAAGAAGACTAATTAATACAGCCCCGTGTGTAAGGCAGTAACAGCCACGAGCATGCACTCATTACTGGTGTGCAGGGCACAGGACGACAGGCCAGTGTGGCTTCTTCTTCTGACTTAAAAATGTTTTCTCTCTTGAGCATGGCATTCCACAAAAAATGAAAAATGCTTCCCATGTGGAAATTTCTTCCTGACTGGTTGAAACACAAGCAAAATTATGCCGGTCAAGAAAAGCAGAGAACACCAGTGAAGAAATGTGATCAGGAGTTTCTATTAATATCTGACAATTATCCAGAGAGGTCATCACAAAACAATTATTTTGTCCTCAGAATACAAACATTTTAAGCAAAAGCCTTCAGAACTCAACACCCACGGCAAGGATGGCTTATTCTCTTAAAGATTCCAGAAAATGAGCCACAGGTCTCATTGGGGTGCTCTAAGATTTAACAGGGCTTCCCTGGTGGCTCAGATGCTAAAGAATCTGCCTGCCAATGTAGGCGACCCTGGTTCAATCCGTGGGTTGGGATGATTCTCTGGAGGATCCCGACCCAGGGATCAAGCCTGCATCTCATAGCTCCTGCATTGGCAGGCGGGCTCTTTACCACGAGCGCCACCCGGGAAAGCCCCACAGTGGTTCTTCTGGGGCCTGATGGAAAATCTGAGCCCAAGAGCGTGAGGCAGGCATCGTGCCCCAAGGACACATCCTCTCCTGCAGGGCCAGGCAGCCTTCCCCCGGGGCCCCTCACTCTGCCTGCATCCCTGTCCCGTCTTCCTGCTCTCGGGTCACCTCACACACCTCATTCAGTCCCCAGAACAGGACGCGCTGTCTCTTCAGAGGGCCCAAGTCTGCTGTCTGTGCCTCTTACCTCTTAGAGCATGGCCTCTGGGGCTGGTTAGAAAGAAAAGAAAGTGAAGTCGCCCAGTTGTGTTCAACTCTTTGCGACCCCATGGCCTATAGCCTACCAGGCTCCTCTGTCCATGGAATTTTCCAGGCAAGAATATTGGGGCTGATTACAGGGGTTCAAATCCCCTCCCTGCCTCTTCACTGCAGTCTGATTTTAGGGTACCATATTTCTGTGGTCTTTTTTTTAAACACATGGTTTTCTAATTTAAGTAGCAGTCAGCAACTATTCAAGTAGACTTTATAGGCAAGTAGACTTGGGTTTGAGACTTTACTCCAGCACTTTGCTGGCTATGAGAACCCGAGAAAGTGACCTCATTTTGGTGAACCATAATTCCCTATAAATTATCCACAATTCCATCACCCAGATTTCACCCTGTAAGTATTTCAGTGTGTTAATTTTTTTCTAAGCATATATTAATTTTCCCCACCAACTTGGAATAATTCAACGTTTAAAAAAATTTGACTTCAAAACAGTGTTTTGCCAGATCATAAAAATCTTTTGGGAGAACAGTTCTTTCTACTCCCCTCCTCAGAGTTTAGGCACCTCAGTTTACTCATCTGTAAAGTAGGCTAATAATAGAGTTTACCTCTGGGGCTGCTGTCAAGCTTGAGTTAATTTACCTAATGGGTTAGAACTGTGCCTGGCATGTCAAAGCAGTTGTTATGATCACCCTGCAGGTCTTCAGATGCCTTTGGGGTTGGAGCACTACTTTATGGATGGAGCATTGCTTTATGGATTGGAGCACTACTTTATGGATTGGAGCATTTGCATGAGGGGCTCAAGAAAAGTGCCAGGAGTGAATCTCCGAATTCCCCAGAACACCCTGGGGCTTTCCAGCTAAGCCAGAGCACCAGTCCCTGGATAGGGTTTCCTTGATCAAAGGACAGCAGGGCAGAGGCTGAAGGTGATCTGACTGTTCCTTGCTGCCACAGAGGAGGGGGGCAAACCCCGAGGCTCTTAGATCACCAAGGGGACCCAGCCATCCCCCACCCACCCTCCAACTCGTTCACTTCACAGCTGGGAACAGAGATCAGAGATGGAAAGTGACTGGCCCAGTGTCACACAGCCAGTGCTAGGACCAGAAGCTGTCCTTAACCCTGGCTGTCTGTTTTAGCTGGGTACCATCAGCACATTCAGATGGCAAGATATGTAACACAGCACCCACCGCATCATTACTCTCATTCAAAAATGGTTCTTGTCCTGAACTCATGGTCTGAACTTTAGGCTTGAAACCATCCCCATAGAGTTTAACACACCTCTCCTAGGTCAAGACAGTCTCCACTACTGCCCTTCCACATGTGTGGAAAGAAAGGATCTAAGAAAGTCGGCCAGAGGCAGAGGGACACACACACCCCCACGATCCCGGCACTGGGCCCATGACCCACATCAGCTCTGGGGCCCCCAGAGTCCAGCCCCTCTGTACCCTGGAGTCTCGGAGCTGAGCACAGGAACCGCGCTGACTAGCGGCTGGGAGGTTTCCTAATGTCTGAGCTTGATCGGACCTCTTGTTGGATGAAATTTATGACCCGGCACTTCCTCGGGGAGACTTCCCACGTCGAACAGTTGAACACTCCTGACCTTACCGCCCCAAACAAGAGAAGGGTGGGGAGGGGAGGGGCGGCAGGGCGGGGGAAGGAGGCGGAGGGAGGCTCCGCTTGGCCAGATGTCGGGGTGAGGCGGGGAGCAGGGGCGGGATGCGCAGATACTCGAAGGACGCGGGGACCAGGGCTCCCCGGGCACCCGACTCTGTGCAGGGGGCTGCGAGCCGCCGGCTGATACGTGCAAAGCCCACGTCTCCCCCAATCCTAAGTGACCATCGGCGGCCCGAGGGGCCTCGTGGATGGACCGGAGCCTGGGCAGGGGTAGGGACCTGCCGGGGCCCAGCTTATGCGTTACCTGGAGATGCGCCCCCATCCCCACCCCAGCCAGGGCCGTCAGCGCAAAGAAAGAATTGCTGAGCCTGGGAGAGACTTTGGTTGCGGCTTATTGGTCCTTGTATTTGTTTTGTCTTTAGCAAGAAGAAAGTCCTGAATGCTGTCAGGGGATTGTCGCTGCTACTGTTTTTTCCTCCTAGTTAGGGGAAGGACAGACTCCTGGAGTTGAGACCCTTGGTTCACAGCTTCTCAAACTGGGCTGCACGATAGAAGCACCTTCTACACAAATAACAAAAACTGATGCCACCTCGCAGTCTGGTTTCACTGGCCTGGGTATCTGGGTTTTCGAAGCCCCCCTGATCTTGAGGACCACGGACTCAGTTCCCGCAGTCAGCCCTGACACTAGGGTCTCAGCTACCCAACAGTGAGCGCCTGAAAAATGGACTTGACCTCGGACTTACCCTGGAGAAGGGCATGGCAACCCCCTCCAGTATTTTTGTCTGGAGAATCCCATGGACAGGGGAGCCTGGTGGGCTACAGTCCATGGGGGTTGCAAAGAGTCGGACACAACTGAGTGACTAACACTTTTACTTTTTCAGACTTACACATACAGACTTGAAGATGAGAAGGAAAAGAAAAAAGGTTACTTACTGGGGGAGAGGGGTAGGTAGTAAATAAAATACAATAATTTTTTAATTGAGATATAATTGATGCGTTAGTTTCGGTGTACAACATAATGATTTGATATCTACATATATTACAACATATTACAATAAGTCTAATTAACATCCATCACCACACAGTTACATATTTTTTCCCTTGTGATGAAAACTTTTAAATCTACTGTCTCAGCAACTTGCAAAGATGCAATACAGTATTTATTATTAACTATAGTCACATTGCATCCCCAGGACTTAATTATTTTATAACCAGAACTACACCTTTTGACCACCCTTACCCACTTTGCCCACCCCTTCCCCCAGCCTCTGGCAACTACTGATATTTTCTCTGTATCTGTGAGTTCTGTTGTTTTTTGTTTGTTTTTGTTTTCAGATTCTGCCTGTAAGTGAGGTTGTAACGTATGTGTCCTTCTCGGTCTGATCGCTTCCTCTTAGCAAAATGCCTCAAGTTCCATCCCTGTTGTCACAAATGGAACAATGTTTGACGAGTGGCTCATCTAAGCTGGGCAACCATTTACGAAAATAAAATTGAGCTAGCCAATACGTAGTATTTGGGTGAGGAATGAGCTCCAGTTCCGGATGACCAGTGTACTCAGATGCCCCAGTCTGCTCTGGCTTCACCGTGGCCCCGTTGCTTTTGGGTTAAAGACGCACATTCTTTTTTTCTTTTTTTAATATTTATTTATTTGTTGCATTGGGTCTTGGCTGCAGCACACAGGATCTTTAGTCTTCACGGCAGCGCATGGGATCTAGTTCCCTGACCAGGAATCAACCCCAGGCCACCTGCACTGGAAGCTCAGAGTCTTAGCCACTGGGCCACAGGGAAGTCCCAAAGGCGCACATTCTTAAGCAGGACTGTGACGCACACTCCCTCACCAGCCTCCTCTTGGACCCTGTGGGATTCTCAGCGCTTCGTCCTGCCTCCAAGCTTTTCACAGTTGCTAGGCTCTTCACGGAACACCCCAACATGCCCAGCACCCGCACAACATATACACTTTATCTAGTTAGAACCTACTCTTCCTTCATTGTTTACATCAGATACGGCTTTTCTGGAGCACACCCCAGACCTCCCAGACCATATGAAATCCCCCTGTTATGTGTGCTCACTCTCTTGGCAGTTATCACATAGACATTCAGTAAAAGCCGTCTAGCTAGTTTCTTACTGTCTATCTCACCTGCTAAGATGTCAGCTCCATGAGACATAGAGCGTGTGTTATTCCTTGCTGCGGTTCTAGAACCATCGGAGGACTGTGATAATATTGGTCAAATGATAATGATAGACCACCTTTATCACTTTAAAAATGGCCATCCTTGGGGTCCAGTCCTGCATTCACTTGACTTTTCCTGCAGCGGCTGGTGGTTCTGATGTTCTGGCAAAAGAGTTTGGCTCCCTGGATCTCTCAGCTGCTTTACTGTTAATGGCTGCGAACCTTTGTATGTGACTTCATGCCTCAGTTTCCTCAACTGTGAAGCCAGCAGGGGGTTACATAAAACCCTTGGAACCTCAGAAGGGGCATGCTACAAATTTCTTATTCTCTTCTTCCCTAGGAATGCTATTTCATCTATCTATGTCATTTTCTACCTCAAAAAACTTTATTTTTTAAATTCAGTAATTATGATTTAATATTTGCAGAAATTATAATGGTCAGTTGGTTGTATCCTGAAAGGATGACAAGGCAGTCTGGGGCTGATGATGATTTAAGGGTTTTCCATAAATTATCTCCTCCTGTGAAATCAAGATCCAAGAAATGTCATAAATCCTAAGTCACTATGGAAAAGTAAGATAGGTCCTTGGATAATGGCTCTAACAGAATTCTTACCATGGAAATGCAAAGGATTTGATTAAAAATTCAAATCGTATCCTATGCAGTTAGCTCTGAAATTTTCTCAAGCCTTGAGATACAAACTGCATTCTTTCTACCCTTCAAAAACAAAGAAAAGGCTAATGAAACTTTAATGCAACAAAAAGATCGCTTTGAATTTGTTCCAGGTTGACTGAAGGAAGATTGTCACTTGTGTAGCCAGCTGGTTGGTGGTTCCATGCAGAGAAGGGGAAAGGCAGGAAGAGCCTAGGTTTGTGAAAGGAAAGATCTCCAGCTTTCAGTGAGGTGGGGTACACCGTAGTGTCACGGGGGAAATGACAGACAGTGGTCCTTGTCCCCAACCCACTGAGATGATTGGGTAAATAAGCAGCCTTTTCTTGTACCGTTTTATGTTTCCAACGTCTGTTTCTTTTCTTAATTCTTTGCCTCATTTATATACTCAAATGTGGCCTTAAAATGTATTGAATTTGACACTGAATATTAATAGTAGTTCCAGGTTTCATGAAACTGTGTTTCAAGTGAGTGAGTGAGTGTTAGTCACTCAGTCATGTCTGACTCTGAGACCCCATGAACTGTAGCCCACCAGGCTCCTCTGTCCGTGGAATTCTCCAGGCAAGAATCCTGGAGTGGGTAGCCATTCCCTTCTCCAGGGGATCTGCCCAACCCAGGGATCAAACCCAGGTCTCCTGCATTGCAGATGGGTTCTTTACTGTCTAGTCACCAGGGAAGCTGTTTCATGAGGTTCCCCAAGGAACACCCTGATTCCCCAGGTTCTGCTCCCCCCCATCCCCGCCCCAGGAGGAAGGGTGGGGCCTCATGTCAGAGCTTGGAGTGTCCCTAGGGCTGGTGGTTTTGCCTCCTGTCACCTTGCAGGCCACCCTGCCCCCTGCCCTGCCTGGGGAATGAGTGAAGAGACACCGGCAGAGTCTCTGAGACCTGAGGATCTGGCGGGCGCCCCGCACCCCATGGGCTGCCCTCACTCCCAAGGCCCTCTGGCTCGTCCCCCAGGCCACAGGCCGAGGTGGGGATCCCGCCCCTGGCCTGTGGTTTTCATGGTCAGCGCCTTCTCAGTCCCCTCCGGGGCCCAGATGACGGGCCTCACTGACCTTTCACACGAGCACTTCAGGCCTTTGTGTGGAGTCATTGGTCTCCCTGCTCGTCCTCTGAAGGCACAGTTGACGTCGTGACAACTGTCAGCCGGCCCTGGGCCCAGTGGGGGGCAACGAGCCTGCAGGAGCTGCCACCCAGCCTTGGGGGAGGCCAGGACGGTGGGCCCCTCCTTCCCAACCTCTGGGGTCACTGCGGTCCTTGTGAGTGTGAGTGTGTGTGTGTGTGAGTGTGTGTGTTTGAGTGTATGTGTGTGTGTAAGTGTGTGTGTGTGTTGCATATTACCTGCCCGTGGCCAGAGGAACATCAGATTTCCCCAGGTGACTAGTCCCCAACAATGTAGTGGGAACTCAGGTCTCCTCCTGGTTACGACTTGACTGTGCGCCTCCAAGAAGTGATCGCTTCTCTTTAGCTGTGTATTTTTCTTTATCTCCAGGTCCATTAGGAGAGTAAGTTAAAAATACCTCCAGTTCCCTGGAGAAGAGTCCTGTGTATAACCCAGACTGTAAAAAGTACAAACGACAACATGATTACTACTTATTTCACAACTCTTATTGTTACCAGAATTTCTCAGCGCACTATATTTCCTTAAGCTTCAAAGACTATTAAAAGAAAGGAAATGAAATGATATGATTCTAGTTTTGTAAAAGGTGAATGTCTTCTAACTGTATATACATAGGAAAAAACCAGAGGGAAACATTTTGAGACTAACAGTGGCTATCTCGGGGAAGTGGGATCACACATGCCATGTATTTTCTTTCTATTTCAGCATTTCTTTCCTTTTAACATAAACATGCAATTTTTGTCCCATCACTTCGTGTCAAATAGAAGAGGAAAAAGTGGAAGTAGTGACAGATTTTATTTTCCTGAGCTCCAAAATCACTGAGGATGGTGACTGCTACCATGAAATTAAAAGACACTTGCCCTTTGGAAGGAAAGCTATGAAAAACCTAGACAGTCATATACAGATGTGAGAGTTGGTCCATAAAGAAGACTGAACATTGAAGAATTAATGCTTTCGATCTGTGGTGCTGGAGAAGACTCTTGAGAGTCTCTTGGACTGCAAGGAGATCAAACCAGTCTGTCCTAAAAGAAATCAGTCCTGAATATTCTTTGGAAGGACTGATGCAGAAGCTAAAGCTCTAATACTTTGGCCACCTGATGTGAAGAGCTGACTCATTGGAAAAGACACTGATGCTGGGAATGACTGAGGGCAGGAGGAGAAGGGGATGACAGAGGATGAGATGGTTGGATGGCATCACCAACTCAATGGACATAACTTTGAGCAAACTCCAGGAGATAATGAAGGACAGGGAACCCTGGCAAGCTGCAGGCCATGAGATTGCAAAAATCTGACACGACTTACCAACTGAACCAC